TTTTATCGTTCTTAAAGAACGATTTTTTTTAACGTTCTGATAGAACGATATTTTATCGTTCTTGAGGAACGATGCTTTTAATCGTTCTTGAGAAACGATGCTTTTAATCGTTCCTTTAGAATGATTCCTCTATCGTTCTACCGGAACGATCCTTATATCATCCTTTGGAATGATTCTTTATCGTTGGGAGATAAAATTGCGAAACTCGCTAAGAATTTGCAATTCTTTAAGAGTATCGCTAAATTTTTTGTAAAAGTAAATGACTAAATGACAAATGATTTAAATGATCTTGATCATTTATCATTTGTCATTTAGATCATTTGCGAAATGACAAATGCTAAATGATTTATGATTATGACAAAGGAATAGACAAATCATTTAAATGGTCAAATGACCAGGTCATTTCCGAACACTGGCAGTTATAGCATTAATACTTAGACTTGAATTCTTCATCATAAAGTCAGATTATGATAGTAATATTATAATGTTGAAATTATATTGTTAGATGTTTTTAGCCAAATTTTTAAAATGATCAAATTAAAAAAAAACAGTCATATTCTTAATGCCTGATCCATTTGTAATAGTAATTGTTTTAAGAAAAAAGGATTATATCCTACTATTTTAAAAGATCTGTTAATAAATGAATAGATCTTAAATTAAAGTTTGCCTTATTATGTAAAGTGAAAGAGTGTCTTGAAAAGCTTATAAGCATTATAAAAGGGAATGGTAAAATAAAAAAAATGTGCAAGATCATAATTGATAAGATTGATTAAGCTTGTCAAAAGTATATAATTTTTAAAAAAATACTATTTGGTTAAATTTATTCATTTGTTTTATAAAGTGTGAAATCTAGCTTATGAATGATGATGAAGATTAGTAAAAAAGGCAAAATGATTTTATGATCTAACAAATACAAATCAGTTGAATTTAAAGATAAGAATAGAAAATCTGAAGTAAAATTTAAAGAAGCAAAAATAGTATTAATTTGAGAGTTTGAATTTTGAACTCAAAATGTAAATTCAGGTGAATTATAACAAATGTAGAATCCGAACTATACTAATAGAACTCACAAATGTAGTATAAACATGCAATTAAAATTATATTATATAGTATAACTCAGTCAATATTAATACTAGAAAGATGAAATTACTACCATTAGATATTTCTCGGTTAGACGAATTTAATAGTATAAATTTCATTAAAATTGAATCACTGTTATTAAGATAATGGGGTATGTAGGATAAGTAAATTTGTAAAAATAAAAATAAGCAACTTTTGGCAAAGTTTACATATAAACTCTATGCAAACTCAAATGTGAGTTATATTAGTATAGTTTGGGATCCTACAATTATCTTATAAATTAAGAAAATCAAGTGCAAATATGTAGTGAAAAAATTGAATCTCTAATGAAGAAAAGTATCATTATTATAATAAGATCAATAAATATTGAGGTTTAGCATTCAAGTTTCCTAAAAAGACAATTTTGAAATCAGATTTAAGTCTATACTTAATATATTTAATGATTTTTTATTAAGTTTAAAGTTTTTTTTTTGTTTGTGAGATTTGTAAATAAATACAAAAATATCCTTAATTTAACATGTCTTGCAAGAAATAAATTGATGTAAATAAAATAATTATTATTTAAAAAGGTTTGTTAGATATAAATTGTTCATGATTGCTTAATAAGAATATTAATACCAGTATAAGTATTAATGCAAGAGCTTCTGATTATGCAAAAATTAGGATCATAGGTGTATTGATAAAATTGGTCTATTTTGTGTTTGATTTCTGTAAGACAAATGAAGCCTATATTAAAGTTGATAAATGTATTGTTAATTAAGACTCACATTGTAAAGAATCAACATTATGTGTTACAAATAAAAGGGTAAGTATATTTAATAAATTATCATAAATATTTTTAATTGAGTGAATAATAAAAAAAATTGTGAAGAAGGATAGCAATTATTATTAGGCAATTTTTGCAATTAATGATTGAAGTTGGATCATTATGATCTCTATTTGAACTTTTTAGTCAGCAATAATAGCAGCTTATATATTGATAATATTCTGTGATTTTATATTAATAGGTTTGAAAATGTAATTATCATTATTTTTAAATGATAAATTAGAAATTCAGATATATTTATTGATATGAGAGCTAGAGCTATTTTGAGAGATAATGGGCTTAATAAAAGGTTGGATAATAAAGAATATTTGGTATAACAGGAGTAAAGGTCAATTAGAATTATTCTAATTTAAGAATATAAGCTTTCAAATCTGTTATAGCTTTCTATATACCAATAAGCATCATTAAAATTTGATCAAATTTGTTATTAGTATCAAAATTATTGTTAGGGTTATGAATGAAACTATCTAATGAATTATCATTATTTTTATTAGATAAAATATTAGAGTAATTCATATTATGAAAGGAATTAAAAAGACAATCATTCTTATTATAGGTATTTTTATTAATGAAAGCTTGAGAAATGTTAGATTTGAATTAATTATATAACTTTTGTACTGAAGGTAGTTGTAATTAAGATCTTTTATTATTAAAAGTATTATCTTTTTTAGAAGAAGTAATCTGTAAACATTTAATTATAATATGATCTAAAGAATCATATTTGTAATAGCATTTTATATCAGCTAAATTCTATTATAATTCATTGTTTTTTAAATGTATAATCAATTTTAATAATATCATTATGGTCTCAATTATATCAAAATAGAGAATAACAAAAGGGTATAGCTTATAGTTGTTTAATCTTAGAATGTAATAACTCTTTACTTTAGTAGTAATAATAATATTCCAAAAGTCATATGTAGTGATATTATCTTATGATACTAATGATTGATATTTTTTATATAATAATAATATTATTTAAATTAATATTTATCATTTTATAAAGAAATTAATATTTATTTTAATTTCACAGGCAAATTTGCTTATTAGATAATCTAAAGGATAAGCCCATTATGCTTATAGAGGAAAATTACACATATCTAAAAATATAATATAATAAGTATGTAATAAAAAAAAATAATATCATGTAAAAATAATTATAAAAAACATAATATTTAATTTTGATTAGCTAAAAATATAATTGTAAAAATGCTTTACTTAATCAAATTAAAAGAAGTTTCTATTTTAAGTATTTTAATTATTCTTCTAGACAATCTAAATTTTATAATAATATAAAAACCTATAATATAAAATAATAACATAAATCATACAATTTTTTAAAAAAAAAAATATTTATATTTATTTATTTTATATTTATCAAATAATTTTATTATAACAAAAGATTATTGCAGATCATATGTAAGTTATTATTATCATAAAAATTTTTATATATATGATTTATAATTCAAAAATATTAGTAAAAATTTTATGATAATATTGAATTAAATATATTATTAATAATTTAATAATTTAATCTCATAATAAAATTTATAATTAAATGAATTTTAAACTCAAACATAACTTCTACCTAAATTATTAGTAACTAATAGATTTTTAAAGAATATTTTTATATAATATGATAATATATATCATGTAAAGAATTAAAAATTTATTAATAGAATAATAACATATATTATATATTAAAACATATATTTTATGGGATAAAAAAAATCAAACCTTTTGATTTTTGTTGTATTATAATTACTTGTTTGTCTAGTGAAAAATTAAATATGTATTTTTCTTATTAGAATAATTAATATACATTATATATTAAACTTATATTTATAAATTTTATTCTTACCAAAATATATGTATTTAAATTTACCAATTTTAAAACTTGTATTAGATATAATATTTATTCCTTACTTTATATAGGTAAATTCTCATATATTTCCTACATTTTTTTTTATAGAATATGATTTATATAAGAGTTTCTGCTGTTTTATTATTCTGAATTAGGCTAGATTAAGCTAAGAATGAATATAGGAAGATTGCTAATTATTTTCATTCAGAAGATGTAATGATATTGAACCTACATATCTTGCAACTAATCTGTTTTAAAAAGAAATACTTTTTACTTACTGTGAACTTTAAGTTTTATCAATATTTGATTCACATTGGTATCAAACATTTAGTGAATCACAAATAAAAAAGAAAATAAATCAATTGAACTAACACAATAAGATCAATCAGATAATTTAGTTTTATTTAATATTATAAACTTAAATTTGAATAAATAAGTCTGAAATAAAATATATAGCAAAATTAAAACAACTTATTGAAATTGTTCAAAATAAGAAATAAGAATTGCAAACTGATTGATTATTTGTGCAGTTTTCTTAGTAAATGATTTAAAGTAAAAGGTGTGAGTAGAAAGTATAGGTTGTTATTAGTAAGACCTAATTTCTTTATGTTTTACTTTTGATGTCTTGATTTTTTCTAACAGTCATTTGAAAACCACCAAAATTTGGCATCCAAGCATCAATGACAACTTAATTTCTAGTCTTAGAAATATATAATTAATTAAAACTTTGGTTTTCTTCAATATGATCAACAACTTATAAAGAAAATCTTAATTTTGAAATTTTTAAATAAAAGGAATCAGACTTAAACCTTTTTCTACTAAAGTTAAGTTTTTGACATTAAAAGATACCATCTTGTTTCAATAAATCAATGATATGGGATTTAAAGATATATTTACAAAGGGCTGCAACAAAAGGATTTCCAGCACAAGAATTGAGAAGACTCTACATCTTTAGATGTTCATTAATCCATTTTATATAAACAATAATCTTCATTACAGTTTCTGAAGCATATATTACTATAACATTTTTATAAGGTGGATTTGACTTAAGATGAATAAGTGTTTGAATAATCTTTGTTTTAGATATAATTTTAGAATAAATTGAAATCAACTTTATACAATTCTCCAATTCACATTGTTTACAAGCTGAAATCAAAATTGATGTTGGATCTTGTTCAGTTTGTTTCAGCGCAAACGAGGAATACCACCTAAAAGTTCAAAGTGATTCATCTAAATCTCAGCTGCATTTAAATAAAAGGATGCAATAACTTCCAATTCTTCCCTAGTTCATAAAAGCATATAAAAGACAGGAGGAGCTGGAACCAACTTGTCAAATCCACTAATAAAATTACTTTGAAGGGTAGTTAACAAAATGACAACAGGCATTAACAGGAAATCCAGGAATGTCAGTTGGGTCTTTTGAATCAACAAAGCACCATAAGTCAGGTGTCCAGAATTGATGATTTGAAGACAAAGGATATTGAGAATAGTCAAATGGGTTGTGATCTAAAAAAATCAAGTTCTGAGGAATTTTTGACTAAAATTAATATCTTATTACATTTTAATCTAAATGTAATAAAAATTAAAATGCAATTAAAATCTCAATTTTGAAAAAAATTCTCAGAACTTGATTTTCTTAGATTACAACCCAAATATTGAATTTCCATCAAAGTATATAGCAGGTTTTCTGGTAATAAATAACACACGCTTTCCTTTCTTCACCAATTGCCAAAAGATATAAAAGAGAAACAGATTTTCCAATTCCAGGGTTCCACTGATAATGGAATACTTGCGACGATTTGGGTTAGCCTTTGATAAAGCATTCTTAGAAATGTCTTTGTAGCTGTTACGAATGTAAAGCTTTTGATGTTCTGTCAAGGGAATATGGTAGGCAAATTCAAGCCAGTTGTTGTTTTCAACAATTGTTGGAAGATGTGAAAAAAATGAATCACTGCAAGGTTGAAAGACATGATCTTTCGGTAGTGTTGTGGGAGCAGGGAAATGTAGAATCATGTGTCAGTTCTTGTTTCCCCAAAACAGGAAAACAATGTTGATTAAAGTGAAAATAATATACGAATTAGTTAAAGTATGAAATATTATTTTTACAAGTTAGCAACAATTACCTTTGTTATAACAAGTACATAAATAAAAAGAGGAAAATATTAATTGGATTAATGGTGAATGAGTAAAAAGTTGTATATAAGTTAGTTTACGTTATAAACAGTATAAATAAATGAAATGGAATGAATGGAAAATAAATTTTGTATATTTTTAACGCAATTTGTTCATTACCTCCTTCTTTTCCAAAGTTGGCTATATTTTTTTTGTAAGTATCGCACTTACTCCTTCCAGATTATTCTTCTCTCCATTCCCCACCTTTTCTCAAACTTCTCCAAATTCTCCTCCTTCATGAATTCTTCAAAACTTCTCCTTTGCTTCACCATACTCATCATTTAATTCTTTTTTAATTTCGTCAAGAGTTGCCATTATTAAAATGAAAGATTTATAGAATCAATTTTTTAAAAAAACACTTTTTTTTTTATTGATTTAGAACATCTATAGCTCGGACCGATTAGTCACAAAAATTTTTTTTAAAATTTTATATATTTGTATAATTCTATCTAAAAAAAAAAATAAAATGAAATAAAATAATTCTCTCTAAAATTAAGTAGACTTAATAATACATTATACAAATTTTTTGGATCTTTAAATTGTATTACTTTAACATCAAAGGAGTTAGTATAATAAAATTAATATTTGACTTTAAAAAGTTTATCCTACCGTATCACCTCACAAATTTATTGAGCGAGTCTATAGAAAGCCTGCCTCATTTTCTTTAGGAACATAAAAAAATCACGTTTAGTATTTAATTGTGATAATATTTCGTCCAATTGATCTATTTGTGGGTTACATTCTAGAACTTGAAATAAGAAATAAAAATAAAAATAAAAAATTGATCTTTAGAGACCCATAATAGTTATTAAATAATCAAAAATCATAATATTAAATTTACTTTTATATATCGAATGTTCTTCTTCTCCCAAATGAATTGTGAATTTACATGGGCGGGACAAATCGTTCTCATAGATGCATGTGAAAGAAAAAGTTATCACATTTTCTGAAATTGATTTGAAAATTAACATAAAAATAAATAAAGTATAAATGATTGATGGATAATACAATACAAATCACCTTTCATTCCAATCATCGTGAAGGCTAATTTATCCGCATATCGTTTTAATTCTGGTTCATTCTTTGAAAGTTGTGCTTGTAAAGCTTGTTTTTTTGACATATTGACTTTTAAAATAATTTATAAAAAAAGATATTGAAGTATAAATGTATGAAAAGATTTATTCAATTACTTATAATAATATGCAAGAAATAATAAATTACTTTCACGTCGCCTTTGAATATCTCTTTTCAGATTCTCGATTTGATTCCTCCAATTACTGACATGCTCTTTTATAGTTTCTCTTTTGCGTTTCAATTCCGAAATCTCTGATTGAATCTTATTAATATCTCTTTTCTCTTTTTCTTTTGCTTAATACATAGATCCAATATTAAGATAATCAATTAATTGATTTTTTAAATTATATTTAAGAAAATAAATAATCAATTGCTTACTCGCGAGGTCATCCTTCTGTTTTTTTTCAGTTAATTTGACTTGTTCATACAATTGCGACCTGGTTCCTAATTATCATGAATAAACGATTATCTATAAAGTAGTCACTAAATACATATTTCTTTTTTTATCCATCATACCTTTATCTGCAGAAAAAGTAATTTGCCATTGTTGTTTTTTTAAAGACAAATTATTTCTCACACTATTCACATAATTAATAAATTCTTCTTCAAATAATTTATTTTTATGTCGCACTGTTTCATAACTAAAGTTCACCCTCGAAATTACAAAGTTATTCGAGTTTTTAATATTTATATTGGAAACGTGATTCAAACTTGAAAAGGAAGAGTCGTTATAAATTGTTGTTTTGGAAGGGGTTCTAACTGGTGTTGAAGTAGCAGAGTACATTATGAAATTACAAACTATCAAAAATGAAAAAAAAGTCGCGCTTTTGTTATAACGCGTATGAATTGGTTTAAGTTAGTTATATCACATGGCGATCGGTCAGCTGCTTAAATGACTCAAGATGTTTAAATTGAATCAGGTTTTGAAACGATACATATGATAAATCCCTGAAAAATGATTTGTTGATTATCAAAGTGACGTGTACAAAATATATAAAACGAAAAAAAACGATAGAATTCTCTTCCTCCTTTTGAATCTCCACCTAAGGGAAATTTTATCCAACATTAAGATTATGTGAGTATCCAATACATTAAATTACAATATTATCATTAATTTTTTAACAAAAAATTGTATCTTAGTACTGTATCTACGATTATTCTTCCCAATATTATTTATCTTATTTTCTTTATCGCTATTGATTTTATTTATAATCATCCTATTTTTTTTTTGAGTGACCTAACCCCCAAATTACTGTCTTGAAATCCCAAATATCCATCTAGCACATGGCTGACTCAGCACCGGCCGATAGTCGTGGTGGTAAGTTAAGACAATTTCTTTGAAACAAACGAAGAAACACGTGATCAAAGATCAAAGAATAAAAAAAAAACTTTTATTGTATCAAATACTCTCGGATCAAGTTGACGAATTATAAACCTATTCAGTCATAATTTTTTTTTCTTCCTACTAATTTATAAGGGATAATCCATTAACATGACTGTTAATTTTATTGTCATAGGACGTGGTGGTTTCGGACGTGGTCGTGGTGGCGATAGAGGCCGAGGCCGAGGACGCGGTCGAGGTCGTCGCGGTGCACGCAAGGAAGATGATAAAGAATGGTTACTATTTTAACCACTATTACTTTTGATTCATTTGAAAAAAAAATTTTTTTTTAATGCATTTATTTAATTTATCAATTTATTTAGGATCCCTGTGACAAAACTTGGCCGTCTAGTCAAGGAAAATAAAATTAGAAACATTGAAGAAATATATCTATTTTCACTTCCCATTAAGGAGTTTCAAATCGTAGACCGTTTCTTCGGCACTGCATTAAAAGATGAGGTTATGAAGATTATGCCTGTTCAAAAACAAACTCGTGCCGGTCAAAGGACTCGATTTAAGGTTATTTATCGTTATTAAACTATATTTTTCATCAAGTATTTTAATGTATTTATTTTTTTCCTCCAATTTTTTTTAGGCCTTTGTTGTAATTGGCGATTCCAACGGTCACGTAGGTCTTGGAGTTAAATGCTCCAAGGAAGTGGCGACAGCTATTCGCGGTGCTATCATCCTTGCTAAGCTCTCAGTAATTCCCGTCCGACGTGGATATTGGGGTTCATCCCTTGGTGAACCACACACCGTCCCTGGCAAGGTTACCGGTAGATGTGGTTCCGTTATATGCCGTCTCGTCCCTGCGCCTCGAGGAACCGGTATTGTCGCCGCTCCCACTCCTAAAAAACTTTTACAATTAGCAGGTATCACTGACTGTTACACTACATCTCGTGGTTCCACTCGTACTTTGGGTAACTTTGTTAAGGCCACTTTCGCCGCTATCGGCAATACCTACGGCTTCTTGACACCCGACTTGTGGAAAGATACCGAGTTTAAGCAGTCACCATATCAAGAATATAGCGACATTTTGGCTGTATGTAAAATTGTATTTTTTTTTTTTTTTATCATCAAGAATTTATTATTAACAATTTTTTTACGTTTTAACAGAAGGCCTCCGAGAAGAGGAGGAGTTAAGCATTTAATTTTAATAATTCACGAATGGAGATGGTTTAAGAGGCCTAATACATTGTGTTCACTTAAATAAAAAAAAATTATTCTTTTTTTTATGTTGGTTTATTATTTTATTGGTCATTTTGGATTTTTTTTTTTTTTATTTTCATGCTAGAATAATTTACATTGGAAAAGAATATTAAATTTATGATTTTTTATGATAATAAACTGGACATAAGAATTTAATTAAATGCAAATGGTTAAATCAAAATTGATACACTTCTGTTTAGGATATAAAAGTTCGTTTTTGTAATTTCGTTCCCCGGCAGATCGTTGTACCGCAAATGCTCTCAGGCCTGAATCATTTTCTATATAAGGATATTTCGCATACAACGCCACGATGATGCAGTAAATTATTGATAATAGCGAGTGAATGAAAGAAACCTACTTATAAAACATAATATTAAAAGATAAGAAAAAAGATCGTCAAAGATGGCCGACAAGATAGGCTAATTAAGCGAATAAGCTATGCAAAATAACTAAAATAAAATGTGAGGATCATTGAAGAAAGCATTAAACTATATCTGTTTGATATTTAGTGCATTATTTTTATTAACGCAATAACACAAAAATCTTGTTTGGGTTTAAATATTTATATTATTTGTTTTGTAAATCAATTTTAGAAGTTCTTTGAGTGTTCTGCAAATTTTCCAATAGTAGAATAGCGTGTTAATGCATTAGCCACAGCGTGACTGAAGATTCATTATTCAAAAAACGCGACTTTTTTATACAACCAAATTGTAATTCTTTATGAAACATGAGATTAAACAAAAGATAATAATAATAAATCTTGATATGAGACCATATCATTGATTTTTAAAATGAGGAATGAACCTTTGAACTAAATGTAACCGTGAATAGGTTTAAGTAGAATCGGAATAAATTTTCTTTTCATCAAGTCGATATTTCTTAATGAATGATAAATCATATCATAAAAAAAAAAATTTCTTTTTATAACACGAAAAATTTAATTGATTGCTTTTGAATGTGGAACATAGATCATTTAGATTATTTATGAGAATAATATATCTATTTTGTGAGAATGAGCCGTTTAAGAATGAAATTATTCATTTAAAATTATGTTAGATGAGAAATATAATGTGATATAAAGTTCATTTGCCAAGAGCAATTTTTAACTTTCTCAAAAAAAATTTTTTTTTCTTTTTTACTCTCTTTTAATCGTCTTACTAAATTAGGTCATTGTATTCCAAACGCCACACAATTGATCAGATCGACAGTTTATATTACCAAAAAAAGGTTCCGCACGTACAAGTTTAACATACAAACCGTGACGTGAGTAACACCATCTCAGGTATAAATGCATGATTCTTGATATTTCGTGGAAATTTAATAACTATTCCGCGCGCTTTCAGCTTATTAAAAGCAAAACCACCAAAAAATGACAAACAAGCCGGAACCAAAGTCGCTTCATGAACCTGGAACATTCCACCTTGTAACGTGGAAAAATGAAATACGTAAATATAACATACTTTGATTTATCTTTATCTTTTTAATGAACAAAAATATACAAAAGTTGTGTATTTAAAATACATATCTTGGTATATAAGTTTAAATAAGTGACAGGAATAATCTTGGAATTTCCAATGTAAATAGGCAAAGCAGAAATTCTCGAAAGAAGGATCCGCGACGACACTTCTAACAAATATCTTTACTACGTACACTATGAGGGGTGTTAGTATTTCTTTTAATTTTCCATTTCGTTCTTACTTCTTAATAATCTGTACAAACAACCCTAAACGAAATTCTCGATAAAACCATTATTAGTTGACCGGAGGCTTGACGAATGGGTCACCTCCGAAAGAATTGTCCGGGCCGTGGCTGCTTCCTCGTTAGGGGCAACTCCGGCAAAACGAGCTGGAGTTGACGAGGAAGCGACCGACGAGGGGGAAACCTCTCGACAGGGTCGTTTTTCAAAAAAGCGAAAACTTAACGGTAGTGGTTCTGTAAAAGGACCAAAAAAGGTATAGTAAGGTTCAACTTTCGTTGCTTTCTTATATACAACTTTGAACTTTATATATCATAACTCGCAAAACTTTTTTTTTGACATTTATTGATTGAGATCATATCATTCGTTATGTTAAGCAGGAAGATGCTCTTGAAAAAGAACATGAGAAAAACACAAAGGTACGAAACATCGGCGCTGTTGTATTCGGACTTTACGAAATCGACACGTGGTACTACTCGCCGTTCCCCGACGAGTACAAGTACCTCGAAAAGGTATACTTCTGTGAGAGGTGCATGAAATACATGAAGATGAAAGAAACATGGGGACGTCACATGGTAAGTAATTTATACGATGTCAAGGCCTTGAAAGAATGTCATGTCTCCACCTCTTAATCTTATTCATCCTCATCATCGCTTTACGATATTTTACAAGTCTCTTTGTGACCACAAGTTCCCTCCAGGTGGGTTGGTTTATGAAAACGGTCGAAATAAGATATACGAGGTCGACGGAAAGCTGAATAAGGTAACTGTTTGGGCACGTGATCTTTACGGGATGACGTAGGGTTTATGTTGTGGTTTTCTTATCTTTCTTTTTTACATTGTATGATTCCTTAGCTTTACGGTCAGAATCTCTGTCTTTTAGCAAAGTTCTTTATCGACCATAAAACCATTTATTATGATGTTGAAGGTTTCATTTTCTATATTTTGACCGAGGTTGACAACGGGAACGATGAGCATATCGTTGGATATTTTTCAAAGGTCTTGTAATTTTTTTTTTCTTTCCTTTTTCTTTTATTTTATTAAAAAAAAGAAAAAATGAAGTATAATTATTATGAATTTCAATTGTTGATGTTCTTAATTATCGTATACAGGAGAAGGTATCGTATGATAACAACAATTTGGCCTGTATACTTGTCTTCCCACCCTATCAAAGGCAAGGGTATTCACAGCTGTTAATTGAGTTTAGTAAGTACTTTATAAAAATGATCTGCTGCAAATGAATTCCATTTATCATTTACTTTCTTTAATATTAGGTTATGAGCTTTCCAAAAAAGAGGGCAAGATTGGATCCCCAGAGAAACCCATTTCTGACTTGGGAATGAAGGGCTATCGCTCGTACTGGAACAGAACGATTCTTCGTCTCTTGAAAAATTACAAAGGTACATGCACAGGCTCAGGATCCTCTTCATTGTCGACAACACCTCCCGAAAGAATAGACAGTAACGGCGGGATTGATACTGACGGTAATGGAAGCATACAGCAGATAAATGATGATGAGAGAATCAAAATCTCTATCAATAAGATTTCCGAGATTACTGGTATTCGCCAGGACGACGTTATTGAAACTCTTCGTGATTTAGGATTTCTTAAGTTTAGGAATCCAAAACCTCGTAGGCGAATTACAACAATATCAGCCGTTATTAGTCACCCAATAAATAACATGGCCAATGGAGATCATCGATACGAACCTTACTATCAGTACCTCAATAATAACCAGCAGAAAGATCAACAATATCAATTGCACCGCGACGAGGAGTACACCCAGAAACGTAACCAAAATCGTTTCATCTGCATCACAAGGAGAATGGTCGACGACTACATTCGAAGTCAGGGGGTAAGGCTCGAGAATCGAGTTTTTGACATTTGTGGTCTCAAATGGCTTCCCAACGAAAGCCGTTAAGTTTTAAAAAAAACACATCACAAGGGACTAAAGATGGCTGTTGCAACCAACCTTATTATGACGATGAACTTCTTTTATGTTTATCGTGCAGGGAAAGTCTTATACCAACATATATCGGAGGACTCTGGCTGTTGCTATTAACTTTTTTTTGACGAACATTTCTCGTATGTTTATCGTCCAGGTAAAGTTATATCAAAGAGGCAATTGATTGATAACTTTGGCTGTTGCAAACAATTTTTTTTATGACGAGCCTTTTTTTTTTTTTTGTTTTCGTACAGACAAGGTTTTAATGTCAAAATAATTTATGAAAAATTTTTTTCTCTTAATTCCTTGTAGCAAGATCAGTCAACACAAAACATAAACCCCATATTTTTTATTGGCACATTTCATTTACTCAGTAGTACCTTAATTATTATTATTATTTTTATTATTATTTTTTTTGTAAAAATTTATGCATTACATATTCATATTGTAAAAATTGTTCTTTATTGGTGGGAAGTTTATTATTAAACAAATTTTTGTTGACAATTAGATCCTGGGCATCAAATTTGAGATAGTACAACACAAGTTAGTCTACTTTTTGTATCAAATGATGTCAACGGTGAATCGAAAATTTTATTATCCCCTTCTTTATAGTCTTGCGGTAATACTTTATTCAGATTCCATATGTTGATAATACCATCAGAGGAAATGGATGATAATAACGGAAAAGGATCGCCACATTTTGGTGGCATTGATTGAATAATTGACAGGTCCTTGATCCTATGGATGGAGGTTAGTATTAAAAGCATCTTTTGAGCGATCCTTTTGAATATTATGAAATGTTAACTAAAAATAATTTACCTATTTTTATGTCCCAATAACGTCACAAAACAATGACCGTTTTTTACATCATACACTCTAATGGTCTTATCTTCGCTTCCTACAATCAACAAATCTCCCAGGTGTTTGTGTGTATAAAATTGCATGCAAAGAAAACGAGAATCTCCAATTTGAAGTTTCTGTACGATTTGGGCGTCCTTGTTTATATTGTAAATGATGAGAATTCGTTAGGACAAATAAATTTTCTTATATCCTTAAATTTAATAAATTCTGAAAAAAAAATTTTTTTTTTGTTATATCTTACCGAAGTGTTGTAAATTTCGATTTCGCGAGGCATTAAAATTGCATACTGATCACCTGACAGATTCCATAAGACGATTTCACCCTCTAATAAGATTTATGGATAAGTTTAAATTAAAAATGTTTTAGAGTCAAGTTATAATTATTAATACCTCTTCCAAGTTTGTTTACACTAGCCTTTTGGCCAGCTAATAAATTCCATAAGCGAAGGGTTTTATCGGCAGATACTGATAATGCAATTTTACCAGATGGATGAACCGCCAAAGAATTTATACGTTTTTTATGACCTTTTAAGATCTTTAAACATTCCCAATCTTTTGTTCTCCAAATACATATTGTTCCATCTTCGCTTCCGCTGAACATATGAGTTTTATCAAAAAATTCAAGAGTTGTTATTGAACCTTCGTGTTGTAATAAAGACCCAAGTTCTTTGCGATTTTTCAAATTGTATAATCTGGTATCATAAGAAAGATATTTTAATTAAAAAAATTTATATTTCCTTGATTGGACTTTATACTTCAAATTGTCAGTCATAGTATTTATTGTGAACTCACTTTATAACTTCATCAGTGCTTCCCGAAGCCAAAAATTTACCACCCACAGCTACCGTCTTAATACATCCAATATGAGCTGGAAAGATAAAGATCGGCTCTAATTTCAATGTTGGATTATCCTTTCAAGTGTATAATTACAGATTTAAGATTTCATTAGATTTGTCCCAATTTATAAAAATTTCAAACAAAATCGAATGAAAATTTAAATATTTTACATTATTAAATCCCTCCTCTCCAGAATTTATCCAATGCGATTTAATTCCATATAAAATTCTTTCATAACTTCCTGCAACAATTAAAAAATCTCCGATATTGGTTTCGGTATTCACAGTATCTAGTGAAATAATTTCTTTAGTTTGTGAATTATCGTCAAATTTTCCTTTTTTTTTTGAAATTTGTCCTTTTTTTTCCGCAGAAGTTTTTGAAGGTCGCGTTTTCTTTGACTTTGGCATAATTTTCGAATATAAAAAAAAAATTTTTTTTTTAATGATCCAAATATTTGGGTTGATATTCTATCAATACCATTATAATGTATTACCAAAGATCTGGGATCAACATATCCCGAACCTTTGGGTCGATCGAAGCTAAAAAAAAAAATTAAAAATGAAAAATTAAAAATAGATCAATAGTTAAAATTATGTTATACCCCTTTACATATGTTGTGTAATAAACTAAGTAATGAACATGGAAAAGATTGGTTTTTTAGTAGTTATTTTAGCCGAAAAGGGGGGGATACATTTTTCACCTAAAAATTTTCTTTCGCGTTTATTTATTTAAAGTTTTTTATTTTATTTTTCCTATTTGTTTAAATTACTTACTTTAAAGTAAAAATTCTTACGAGCATTCTTTTATTTGCTCACTTGTTTTTGATATTTATTTATAATTAACAATGGTAATGTGCTTAAAATTCATGCATATTTTAAGACAACTAAAATACTTGCAATACATTTTTAACTTATGCGTTTACATTTGCTTTATTCATGATATTTAATTTTACTCGGTTGCTAAATAGAGTTCCTCAGACCAGACAGACCCTGAAGATTATTATGTCAAACAAGATAGAATAGGCAAGAATAATTTACTTTTTGAAATTTTATAACAAACCATTTTGTTTAATAGGATTTATTTGAATTGCTCATTTAATTACAGAATCATTGAATTGATTCGTACCTTATTTTTTAATTAATTGATCATTAATTTTCTTTTTCATAATCATGTTTAGGCAAGGGTTCTTTTGGTGAGGTTTATAAAGGGTAAGTAGATTATGAAATAATTTAATGGGAGGGCTTTTTTGAGAAAAGCGTAATATAATTTAATAATAATAATAATAATAATAAATATATATATATATTAAATCGATGCATAATATTTAAGTTTATCTATTAAATGTATTATGTTTTAAATAAATAGTATGATCATAATTGACACATTGTTTACCAAAATCACAACATTTCATACTTAGTTTTGGTAAAAAGACGAAAGCTCCAGTGGCCATCAAAATCATTGATCTTGAAAGTGCTGAGGATGAAATTGAAGATATTCAGCAAGAAATTGCAATACTCTCACAATTGGACTCACAATATGTGACAAGGTAACTTATCATACATTATTCAAACTTTCTATAAAATAATACTTTTGAATCGTAACTTTATTGACAAAATTATTATAACTATATAAGATATTATGCTTCCTATCTCAAAGGAACACATCTATGGATTATAATGGAATATTGTTCTGGTGGTTCTTGTTCTGATCTAGTACGGATTTCTCCTCCCTTTAACATTAAATTTCGTTTCCTTTTTTTTTTAAAAACAAAAAGTATATTTGATTTTTATATTTGTGGAATATAGATGAAGCCAGGAGCTATCAGGGAAGAATATATAGCAATCATATTAAGAGAATTACTGAAAGGCTTGGATTATCTTCACAACGAAAATAAACTACACAGAGGTTTGTACGTTAATCCAATATTGATTTATTCATTTATTTTTTGCATGTATATATATCTAACAAATTCATATCTTTGTTTATTTGTTGACAGATATTAAAGGTCTGTAAAAAATAATTTTAATTGAATGTTTTAAAAGAATTTATTATTTTATTTAACTCGAGTTATTTAACAGCGGCAAATGTTCTTTTAAGTTCGAACGGTGATGGTGCGTAAAATTTCATAAATTTATTTATTTATGAGGTCTTATAATCCTATTTGTATTATATATATATATATTTTTTTTTTTGAATTGTTCCATCACAGTGAAACTGGCTGATTTTGGAGTTTCGGGACAGGTAGGTAACCCTTTAAAAATATCTATCAGACTCCATTCTTTTGGGATATAATAATATTAAATATCTATTCACATAGCTTACAGCAACAATGACAAAGAAAGTTACCTTTGTTGGTACACCGGTATGTTTCTATTGTGTCGGAATTATTTATTACACTGATATAAGTTTTGATTTTAATTTGATCTTATATAGTTTTGGATGGCTCCTGAGGTTATTAAACAATCAGGATATGACTTTAAGGTAATAACAGAAGAGTTATAAAAGTTCTTTGTTGAATATTTTCTCATTTTGTGGTATTATGATTAATTAATAGGCAGATATCTGGTCGTTGGGAATAACCGCCATCGAGCTTGCCAAGGGTGTACCACCTTATGCAGAACAGCATCCAATGAAAGTACTTTTCCTCATTCCCAAAAATCCATCTCCAGTTTTGGATGGTTTATATTCTAAAGGATTCAAGGAATTTGTTGCATTATGTTTGGATAAAGATCCTAATAATGTAAATGTCTCCTTCTTATAAATCACTAAAGTTTCTCAATTTTAATTTTAATTAAGTAATGAATTAATGTGAAATATATAGCGACCTTCGGCAAAAGAATTACTTAAGCATAGGTTTATTCGTAGTGCAAAGAAGACTTCATATTTAACGGAGTTAATTGAACGACATGAAAGATGGGTGTCTGAAGGTGGTTGTCAGTTAGATTCTGACGAATCAGAACATTCAGAGAATGGGTAATTTTTTATTTTTTAAATCTTATTTATTAAGAGACCTTTTTGATAAATAAATCATCTTGATTGAATATTTATTTAGTGTTGAAGATCATGATGAAACAAATTGGGAGTTTGATACTGTTAAACCATCAAAAACAAAATCACCAAATTACTCTGATGAAGACGATTATTCAGAGTATACAATTGGACCATCCAAAGGAAAACAAGCAATGGTAATTGTTTTCGTCTTTAATTTCAAGTTTTTTAATGTTAAAATCATATTAACCATTAATTCAAGGCCATGAAGGAAAGCGATTCCGGGTATGAAACAGTTAAACGTGTAGACATGATCGGTGTAGATGATGAATATGCCGATGAGCTTTATGGTCACACGCAACCTCCAGTGTCAGGTCCAGCAGTTTTCAGAAAAGTGGTTGTTCCATCGATTAATAAGGTTTGTGCAATGAAATTATATTTGGGATTCCCATTAAATTTTTCCAACCATTCTTTTATTATTTGGATTAGTTATGTTCGAAGGCCCCCACTCAAAAAGCTTTAAATACATTGGAGGCTTTGAAAAAAGCTTTTGAGGATGCTGAAAGAGAAAATCCTGGAATAAGTGAAACATTCATGCATGCAGTTTTTCAAAGATATGATGAAGTTAATCCATAAAGACGATATATTTAGCGGATTTTTATTCAAATTGCGAGAGATGTTGTAGATATAACTTGTCTCTCACCTAAATTAAAGAGAGTAGTCCGATAACATTATTGAAATTTTGTACAAATACTTTAGTTTTTTTTTTTTTTTTTGCTTTTTTTTTTACTCTACTATCGGGACTTCATTCTTTAAATTTAGGAAACGATTGTTTTATCATTTAAAAAAAAAAGGAAAGAAATAGTAAATATCATTCATCACTTTGAATGTGCTTTAATACTCGCTTTGAATGTTTATAAAGAAAAATGATTATTATCATGATTCCTCCTACTATTGGAAAAAATAAAAAGGATGAATAAATTAAGTCGAAAGGTGCAATTTCTATAAAGGAAAATAATATAAAATTAAATTAAAAAAATAATACATATGATATCTTTTACCAATAAGTCAAGAAAAGTTTTAATTCATCTAAATTGTGACAAATGTGTCTAATTGGTTTTCCTAAATGTTCTTCCACCAACATTTTCCAATCACTTTCAATATCTTGCCTATAAGTTGATAATAACCTAGAAAGATTTGGATTGGATACGGAAATATCATAATTATCGTTCCAAGCTCTATTTGTAGGCCAGAATTTATTAAATAATGATTCTATCCATTCGGAATACGAATTAGTATTTTCCGGATGATAGAATTCAAGTTGATCCGGTTGTGATGATAAATCATTTTGATCATTATCATCCGATTCAGAATCAGAATCCAAATCCGAATCATCAAAAGTATTTACCAAATGACGAGTAGCCACCGGAGGGTCAGCAAGGGAGACCCAAGCATCAACGCGTTTTAAAGTAGATTTATTCATAACAATTAAATTCATTAATGTAGAAAGAGGTAAAGCGCCACCGTCAATATCATGCCAAGTAATTAATTCTTCTAATCCTTTACAATGTCGAGAAAGGATCAGAAAATTTTCACCTTCATGAAAACCTGATACTTCAATAATTAATCTTTTTAAATTACTACATTGTTGAAAAATGACATGATAAAGTAATTCTTCTTCCTCTTTATTAAATCTAGTACCCCACCAAGTTAATGAATGTAGATTTGGTAAATTAATAAATATTGAAACGAGATTTTCAAGTTCTAAATCATCCACAACATAACAATCCAAATTAAGTTCTTTTAAATCATTATTTTCAATTAACTTGACAATACACTTTTTACCAACATCTCCTAATGGTCTACCATTTTCATGCCAAAGTTCTAAACTTTCTAAATCATGTAAATTACTTAAAGCTGTAGAAAAATAACTTCCATGTCTTTGAAATTCTCCTAAAAATCGTAAAGACCTTAAACATAATTTACGAATTTTTCTTGAAGAAAGAATTTCTATCGCCTTTGCTAGATATTTGGTAACCAAAGTCGTGGATCTGACAACTTCCATTACCGCAATGGTCTGTGGTTCCGCATATTGTTGTTCCCTGGGACTAATTAAAATTCCGTTTACGTTAGAACATTGTGCCAGGACTAGTGGTAGACGAAACCAAGGAAACTCATTTTCTCGGTCGCAAGAAGTGATTGAAATCGTACGAGTTAAAAAAGCGTAATCGTAATATGCAATTTTTTCACCACTTCCATTACTGCTAATCGAGATTGTTTCTGCAAATTTATTGAAATCTATATGTGGTCCTATAATAATTCTATCATAGAGTTTACGAACCGCAAAAGAACTAAAGGTTTTATTGACTAATAGTAAAGAGCGTAGACTTTGATAATCGGAGAAGAAATCTACGATCTCTTTCCATAATTCAGGTGGTAACACTGCCATGAGAAATAAAATATCATTTTAAGAATGTATTCAATACATATATCAAACCAAATTTTTTTTCTCATGCAGTTTTACAAAATAGTAAGACAATGTTTACCAAATTCCTGGGTTCATTAATTAAGGTTGAGCATTTGTGGAAGTTTTGTGGGAATATCAATTCAACATTCTCTTTATATCAAGTATATATATTATATATATTTATATTTATTTATTGAACACAGTTTCGTCACAGTTTCGTAGATAACAATGAGCCTTTCCGTGAATTTCAATATTCATTCTAAAGCACTTTTATCATCATATCAAGCTGTTCTTAATGGCGACAAAGATACCGAATGGGTAGTTTATGGGTATGATAAAGGAGGCAATGATTTGAAGGTTTTAGAAAAAGGAGGTGAGAAAATTATATATCAATATATTTTTTAATGTCGAATTCTTCATTAGTTTAAGCAAATTTTCTTAATAATGACTTTAGCCGGAGGGCTTGAAGAATTGGTAGAGGAGTTTAACGATGGAAGAATTCAATACGCCTTTGTTCGAGTGATAGATCCCAATACGGAATTACCAAAGTTTGTTCTTATAGGCTGGGTGCGTAATTTCGACAAATTTTAAAAATCGCTTATATTCTCCATTCATTCTTTTATTAATTCAATGATTTACTACCATCAGTGTGGTGAAGGTGTACCAGAAATCAAAAAAGGACTGTTCAATTCACATTTTAATGAAGTTTCAAAGTTCTTAAAGGTTCGTGCTTTTATTTGACTTGAATGATTTAGGGATTTACAAAGATATCTAAACGATTAAATTTTATATATAGGGATATCACCTTCAAATTAATGCTAGATCAGAGGTAAATTTCATATTAACGAATCATTTCATTTAAATCACTCGTTTACATTTTCGTTGTATTAGGCCGATGTTGATCCAGCATATATAATGAAACGTATTAGTGAAAGTGGTGGCTCCAAATACTCCATTAACATTAATAAGGAACGAGCAAGGAAGGAAGAACCTATTTTACCTGTTGTATGTTCAATCATCATCATCATTCTTTAAAAGTTTTTTAGATTTACGCGTTATTGATATTTCGTCTGATCATATATATTTTGATTATATAGAATTCCGTATATGAACGTGTGAAAATTCCAGATTTCTCTGCACAACGACAATCTTCTCGTGAACAAATTAAGCCTGTCGTATGTTTAACAAAATACATATGTTTGTTTATTTTTTAAATATCATGTCATTAATCTAATGATATTTATAAACGTATAAAGAGTTCCGTGTATCAACCGGTTCAACTCCCAAAACCCAAACCTCTAGGTAAATTTTCAACTTGGACGGAACGTGCTGAGAATTCAACATCATCTGGACCATCTCCAGCAGAGTTAAAAGCACGTCGAGAACGTGAGCGTGCCGAGAAAGAGGAACGCGAAAGAATAGAAAGTGAAGAGAAAGAAAGAAAGGAGCGAGAAGAAAAGGCAAGACAATTGCGTGAAGAGAAAGAGAGAAAAGGGAGAAAAGAGAGTGATGAGAAAGAGAGGAAAGTGCGTGAGGAGAAAGAGAGAAAAGAGAATGAAGAGAAAGAGAGGAAACGGTTAGAGAAAGTAGAACGTGAGAGAATAGACCGCGAAGAAAGAGAACGTTTAGAAGCAGAACGGTTAGAGGCAGAAATGCAAAAACTAGAAATTGAAGAGGCTGAACGTAGAGAGCAAGCCGAACAAGAGGAAATGGACAGAATTAAACATGAAAAAAAATTGCAAATACAACGGGAAACGGAAGAAAGGTCAAGGAAAGCTAAAGAAGATCAGGTAATAAAGGAAAAGGAAAAAGAAGAATGGGCGAGAAGGGACCTAGAGGAAAGAGAAGAAAGGAAGAGATTAGAATATGAACGCGAACAAGAGGTTTGTCAATCAAATAAGCTATGTAAAGGTGTAAAGGTATTAACTAAGAAATATTTTGATTTCAAAACCAAAAGTTATATCAACAGCAGGAAGCTGAACGGCTTCAACTTGAACAACTTGAACAAGAACAAAAGTTATCTCAGGTAATATTATAAATTCCACTTTGTTTATTGATGCCAACAAATAGTAAATGATTTAAATAACTTAGACTGCCGAAGTTTTTGCCGAATCGGCTGATGGTATAACAGCAGTTGTTCAATTTGCTTATGATGCTAGTAAGTTAACATTTTTTTTTTAACTCGTATTGCAACACGTGAAATTTATAACTTGAAATTTATTTTATTCGTTATATTAGCTGAGGATAATGAAATATCATTAAGAGAAGGAGAGATTATTAGAGATATTATTCAATTAGATGAAGGTTGGTGGCAAGGTGTGGGTGAAGATGGAAGAACTGGACTTTTCCCAGGTAATTAATGACGCTTATGAATTTGAATTAATCAAATTAGTAATATCAAGAGGATTTTTTTTAAAATATAAATGATCGACCGGTTAACTTTTTCAACCTTTTCAAATAATGTAGCAAATTATGTTGAAATCGTTGAGAGCGTTGCGTTCGAACAGCCTATTGAAGAGGCACAAGAAGTTGAAGCTGAACCTGTACAACTAACCGTTGATTCATCACGGAGAAGTTATATTGCCAAAGCATTGTTTGATTATGATGCGGGTGAAGAAAATGAAATATCATTTCAAGATGGAGCTATTATTACAGATATTGAATTTGTTTCGGATGATTGGTGGCAGGGCAAAGCACCCGATGGAAAAGTTGGTCTATTCCCAGGTAAATTGAATTATTATGACGTATATAAAATTCTGTTTCATTACTTATACATTTTTTTTTCCATATAGCTAATTACGTGGAAAAGCAAGAGTCATAAATGGAACTAGTATATAATGATAATTTATATATAATAATAATTAGCACATTAAGAAAATTCATTATTCATTATTTATACATATAAACGTATATTTTTTTTAACAAAAATTCCATTTGAAATAAACATTTAATTTCTGATTATTAATTATATATCACCTATTTCACGTGGTGCTTATTTTAGGAATGTTCAAGTAAACTTTATTATGTATAAAATGACATAACGATAATCCATAACGTAATTTATAAAAGTTAAATAAAAATACATCCCCATCACCTTTTCATATATACCCAACTTTTTTATTTTTTTTTTCTTTGGTTTGTCTAAGCTCATATTTTTGTCATCCTCCATAGAATTAGCTTTGTTCATTTCTCTTAGTTTGAGGTAAATAAGATTACAGCCCAAAGATCTTATCATCTTTATTCATAATATAACTTTTGTCAGAAATAAAGCTAAAATGGAGAGAAATACACCCAATATGCCATTCTGTGTTAATGGTTGTGGGTTTTACGGGTAAGCAAACACATATTAAGAAGTCCAAACTAAAGACTTGTGTTTTTTCTTGTTAACCAAGAAAAAACATCCTGAGTATAACTGTTTTCTTAACTGCTATATTTTTGTTTGTATCTCCTTAAATTTGTTTCATATATTATTTCGTACTAATCCAACTTCTTCACGAAATAGTAATCGTATTTACAACCACATGTGTTCCAAGTGTTTTAAGGAATGCAATACTAAGAATGGGCAAAGTATGTATTTTCATAAGATATGAACATTTTTTTTTTTTGTTTAATATCATGGATAATATAATAACCCTATTTTCTAACAGCTGAGAAAACTATAGAACCCGCCATGCCTTCTTCGGCTTCAACAAATCAGCCACCTACTACTACACTTATATCTACAACTACAACTGTAGAAGAACTTCAAGAAACTCCTGTTCCATTAAATCCTATTTCTGAACTGGACTTACCTCAATCTAGTATGTCCGTAACTAGCGTAGTTTCTCAGGTTTCTACTGAAGTTCAATCAAACCAACATACACGGCAGGTTCAAAATAACAAAGCTCGTTGTTTCAAATGTCGGGCTAAAATTCCCCTAGCCAAGCAAACCATTAACAAATGCCGATGCGGTGATTATTATTTTGATTTTGGTTGATATTAAAAAAAGAATTTAATAACCTTATTTATTTAAAAATATTTTCATATCATTTCCTTTTACCCTTGAAACCTTTTTTTTTTTGATCGGTTTTAGAGTACGTTTTCTGTGATAGCCATAAAGTACCCGATAAGCACGACTGCGATTTTGACTTTGCTAAGATGGGTAAAGACATTTTGGCGAAGAACAATCCAAAGTTGAACGACGTTCACAAAGGTGGACGTTCTTTCAACAGAATTGACTGAATAACATTATTTCGAAGGACTACCTAAGTCTGGATTATATTTGAGATATGGTCTCGTACCTTTCGAAATAACTAAGATGTAATGGTCAATTTGCTTTCGTTTTAATATTGTGAAGCAATATTAACTTCGTTTATGGACATTATTTTCGTTAGTTACAACTGATGAAAATCGAGTTTTTTTTTCCTTCATAAACTTTACAAACTTTTTTCTTTTCGAATTTCAAACCGACATTTGGTTTTTCTTTTACATTCATTTTTGGGAGTTAACGGAACTAACAAAACATACGATATATATACTACAATATATTTTGTTAACAGATATATAAGGAATACACTTTGTGAATAATGGACTCGGCTCCATTCGACCTTTATTATGCAAATGGCAAATATAATTTTTATAATTCCTTTTTTTTTTTTTTTTTTTAATTAAATCAAGTTTTTTTCCATGTCATAATGGATATAATGTTTAAATGATGTTGCATAACTGAACAATTCACTTAAAAATGATTTTTTGGGGGGGACTATATAAAGGTTATTACAATTTTTTCATATACATATTATAAAGAATACATTTTTCTTGGATTATTAATTGGTTTTTTGTATGTGAAAAGACTTGTAAATGTTTTAACAAGTTAGGTTTATCTTTTACTTCGTATTTCTATTATTATTTTTTTTTTTTTGTGTAGGTATTTATATATCAAACTTTTATTTGAATTAATTAATTACATTTATTATCTATCTGTATGTTTATATTAAAAATAATAACTTTTTTTTTTTCTTTAAAAAAAGAACGAGAAAAAAAAATTTATTGATTTATTAATTATTACTCTACAAATATACGTTTAGATGATAATACTCAACAAAATTACTCAACACAAAGTTATGGATCACCTTTTTTGTTTTAATTTTAATTAAAAAATGTAAATACAAGCGCAAAATTATTAAAACAATTAATTCTTCTTTCCCTAAAGGAATAATTAATATAATTAGAAAGAGTTTAGCAAATTTTTTTTTTTAAAATAAAAAATGAGATATTATAGAGATAATAATTACCCTAGCCATGTTAGAAACACCGTAAATTGATCCTGTTAAACCTAAAGCAAGACTTCCAAAGTATAAAAACACGAAACCTTTTCTAGCAGGTCCTCCGAGTCTTCCAGGTCCTTTAAGTTTCCAAAGAGGCGTACTGGTATTTGACTTTAAATATTTATATAAATTTTAGATTTATTGTTATTTTCTTCAAAAAAAAAAAAAAAAAGAGGAAATAAAGATATGAAACGGTTAGAATTGGATCCTTACCTGAAAATACCTTTGATAGTCGATAACTTTGTTTGGTTTTTCTAATATTCCTACCATTTTCGTCTTAAAAGAATAATAATAGTTTCTGTTCAAAAAAGACTTATCGTGTACAAAAATAATAATATTAAATATATATTAATTTGGGTTTTTCGGGGGAGGGGTTTTTTATATAATTTTTTGGAAAAAAAGCTCAATTTGATTGATTGTACGTTACACGACACAAAAATCGTAATTTGATAATCTCTCTTTTGGTTTTTTTAAATAGTCACTCACTAAATATTAATAATGCAACCCTCCGAATCAAATAATGCAAATAATGATAAGTCATTAAAAACTCGAGAACAGAATCAAATAATAACGAAGGAAAATGAACCTATTCTTGAGACATTGGCTAAAACCCCATACCCGGTTTGGACAATGGCAACATTATGTAAATAAGAGTAGATATATTCTTTTTTTTAAAAATTGAAAAGGAATAATGAATGATTCATTTACTAAATATCATAGTTAATTAGGTCTAAGTTCGTCAGGATTAGCAAGGAATTATGCTGGAATGCCTTCAATGTGGACATGCATAGGTTTTAGTCTAATATTTTCTTTTTCGGGGTATTTATAAAAATTTGTTTAAAAAAAAAAAACTTATTTTTTGTTCTTTGAGACTAAAAAAAATTCGTGAATCCCCTTAGGTATATGACATATACGGGTGATTTTTATAATGGGTCAGGAACTTCAACATGTTTGTATTTATATTGTTTCTAAAAGCATGATTGTATTGTATTCAATACAAAATTTAACAAATTCTTTTAAATAGCCTGGTCATTGATATATAGTTTATTTAATGTTGAAAGATCGTTAAAATCAAGAAAACCTATACCTATTTTAATGACTTCGCTCGCTTTATCTAACGCTTATATTTATGGAAAATATCACTTCTTTTAATTAAAAACAAAACGTGTCTGATTAGAATTATGATTTGTTCAAAGAAAACATTCCGATATACTTGGAAGATTATTAATTCTGGATCAAAACCAATGAAGAAACATCAACATTGATTATTTATTAGTAATTTACAAAAAAAAAAAAAATAAGCAATCCAAAACAAAAGTATTCCATTGAAAAAGTGTAGCAATGATGCTTAGGTAGGTAGGTTAAAAATTTTTTTTTTTCATTCATTAAATTCACATCGAAAAGAAAAAAATTAAGTCGACATAAATGATTACAAAATAATAATTTTTTTTCTGAATAAAATAAAACTTTTTACAAAAAAAGATAATTTTTTTGAAAAAATAAAGAAAATTTTATACATTGAAAGTTTTTTTGGGGGGGTAATAATAAGAATAATAAAATGGTGATGGAAAAAATTTTTTTTCTTTCGAGAACGAATCTTTTTTTTTTTTTTTTTTTTTTTTTAAGAAAAAAAAAATAATTTGCGATAAAGAATTAAAATAATAGTTTCGTTAACGCATGTTTTGAATATGTAGATAGTAAGTAACGATATAATAAAATATTCCTATAAGAATGTCAATAAAATAATGTAATTTGACTAAATAAATGTTAAATATATAGATATAAATATATAAATATCAATACTTTAAATATCAATACTTTAAATTCAATAATTTTGTTTTTGAAATAATTCAAAAACCCTTATGTTTCAATAAAATAATGGGAGGGGATAAAGAAGCATAAAAATATAAGTGGATAATATATAGTAAATAAGTATAGTCGGTGAGTAAACATAGTTGTAAACATATGCGAAAAAATAATATATAAAATATGAAATGAGAGAAAAAATATCTACAAAGAAATTTTTCGTAAAGAATAATTATTTAAAAGAAAAATATAAAATTTCAGTGCGTGTCAAGACCAGCTTGCGTACATTAAGTTGAGAGTAACAAGTGCAAGTTGGAGTAGCCATAAAATCATCACGCGTATTCATCATTCTCTTGACCAATTACAACGTTTGAACCTTGAACGTCTTGTTTACAATTACGGTTTATTTCATTATCTCGCTGATTACTTTCACCTCGATTTCCTTCAATTGCTTCTGGTAATGGAGAAGTTACCAGCTTTTGTCTAAAAGTGCCGCTATTGTTGGAGGTATTCTTTCTTAATCCTTTATCGTCTACTAGATAATCTTTATCCGAGATGGTATCTCCATATCCATTTGGTACATCATAACCATCTTCCTGTTCGTATTGATTTACGGGACGTCTTGAATATTTTCGATCGGTCTCCAATCCAGACGATAAACGTCGATCTATTGGAGATTGACCATCAGAAGCATACCTACGATTAAACTCATATAATCGTGATGAAGGTGGTCTTGTTGTTGTTACTGTACTATTTACATAATCTTCACCCAAAATGCGAGACCTTCCCGATGAAGAACGATGATGAGATGATGTGCGAACAGGATGATTAAGAGGATAAGCTGATTCGTCGGTTCGGGTAAATGATGATGGACGTGGTGCGGTTCTCTGATATGCTGAAGTGGCTGGTTGAGGTGTAACATTGTTATATCCTTGTAGACTATATCTTTGTAAACGAGGTAGCTCACGTGGAATTTCGCGTTCATAAAAAGCACGCGAATTCGGTTGATCATAATGAGTGAGTGGATGTTGCATTGGTGGCGGTGAAGGTGATGATGAAGCAGTATTTGTACCAGAATATGAATTATATGCAGTACCAGAAGAACGACGTGGCTTTCGTTCTCGATAATCTGATATGCGTGAAGCTAACATCTGTGGATCATTATAATTTTCTGGCTGTAAAGTTGGCGAGGGAGGTCCTGATACACGGCTATATCGTGATGTGACTCGTGGTGGAACATTATAGAAAGAATTTGGAGGAGATGATTGTTCCGATGTAGGAATTGGTGAAACTCTCTGTGAGGAGGATTGATCAACATGTTCACCAATCTGTGATTCATGATTTAATTCAGGACCAAGAACCGGAGCAGATGATACTCTATGTATGGGAGAAATGGAACGTGAAGAATGTGAAGGGGTAGGCATTTGTAAGGATGGATCGCTAGGATAATGAACATATCCAGACATTTTCTTTGTTGTTGCTCTCTTTGGGGCAAGAGGAGCAAGAGCTAATAAACATTCCGTCAGACTACGGACTTGTTCATCACTTGTTTTTAATAATGATTTCAATCCTTTGTCAGGATTTTGCCCATCAAGTTCCATTTGTTGTGATAAAACTGAACGCAATTTTTGGTTTATAAAAAGTGCCGATGAAACTACCATAGCCATTGAATGTGAAGGCGGAGGTGAGGGATCATTTGTTAAGTGTTCTGTGGTGAATGCTTTTTCGAATAAATCAAAAGCATTTTGTAAATGTTTTTGATGTTGGGCTGATGCCGAAGAACGTTTTTGAGCGCACGTGATTGAGCTAGTTCCACCTTGGGAACTATCAGGAGAAAAAGCAGCTGGAGACATTACAAGATCAGAATTATGTTTCTTTTTCCTTTGAACTCTACGTTCTGATATATTATCTAATCAATCCCATGAAAATTTATTATTATTTTGTTAATCACAGAAAAGGGTTATTCCCTACCCAAAGTAAAAAAAAAGAGACATACCATCGTCGACAATCCCGCGTTCCGACTCAAGTTTTTGAATACGAGTCCGAAGTTCTTCTAACACAATCATAGAATCCGAAGACATTACACTGCTATTATCATCCGGTATATCA